AGCACTGTTCGGGGCGGGGAGGAGGGTGACCCTCTGCGCATGCGCGGAAGGGCGACGCGGCAGGTAGTCGTTTCCTCACGGTCTCGGGGCTCCCCTCAGGCTCCGATCCTCTCCCCGCCCGGGCCCCGGCTCTCCCCTCAGGCCCCAGGGTTCCCCTCAGGCCCGCGTTGTGTCGGAGCAGGGGATCGCCACCACCGCCTGGGTCATGAGGCGTTCAGTGGCCCCTGTCAGGGCAGACCCCCGGCCGCTGTTGGGCCTCCGAGGGCACTCGGCACCGACAGAGCCCTGCCCCGGGTCGGGGGGAGCAGGGGGGACGCGGGAAGGTTGCTGTGAGGGGGATTGGGAGGAGCTGGGGTCTGTCTGCACAGTGAGAGGGGCTGCCGAAGGGCTCCAAGGGGTCCCGTCCCATTCCTTGGCCTCGCTGGAGACACGGAGTGGGGTGTTGGGTCTCTCTCTCTCAGCACAGAGGCCATGAAGATTAACCAGAACACTGTGCTGCAAGGAAAGAGGGTGACCCTGGTGCCATACACTTCTGCACATGTGCCCCGGTACGTGGCTCGTGTCCTCTGATAGTCTAGGCTGTCTGGCTCGCTTCTCTTTTTAAAAGGAGTGTGGTGTTCGGAAAGGGTGCTGGCTTGACAACTGCAGGGCCCTCTTCCCCCTGGGAACCACACAGCAGAAAGAGCACTCGTAGAAAGGCGATCAGTTTTGCGACAGACATCCCTGGCAGGTCTGTGCTCTTTGCCAGGTCTGCTGACAAAGAGAACGTCACCTGTGCCGCTCTGTACCCACGGAAGGGGAAATACCTGGCTGTGAGTGAGCCGCCAACAGTTCTCTTGTTAATTGATCTCTTTCCCTATTGACAGTGGAAGAGCAAAACTTCAATGTGCAAAGCCAGATGGATGTTTGATAAATGGGAAGCAGGCGTGCAGGCAGTTTGTAAAGTGCTGGCCTGGCCAGCTGCAGCCTCAACACAAAGATGCCAGTATTAGTCTTTTTGTCAGTGTCCAGGAGATGCTGTATCAATGTAAGTCGGGATGAAATGTGCCGGAACTCAATACTCAGTACTTTTAAAAACATCAAGTTTGCACCGGGCAGTCTTCAGACAAAGCTACAGGATGGACAAACTTGTTAAATTTCCATGGAGAACACCGATTCCTGTGTTAGATAAGGGAGGGAGGCTTGTGGATATTTTCAGTTGATAAGTATGCTAGTGTTTCCAGAACTGTTTTCTGACAGCCTGATCCTCCAAGCACTTGTGGAAATCAGGCTCTGATGCTGTAGCTCAGGCAGTGATCTGGTTCTGGGTCCCGTTGTCAGGTACCACAAGTGGATGCAGTCAGAGGAGCTGCAGCGCCTGACCGCCTCTGAACCACTCAGCCTGGAGCAGGAGTATGAGATGCAGCGCAGCTGGCGGGACGATGCAGACAGTGAGGATCTTAATCATTTTCTAAGGGTGGGTGGGAGTGGTGAGCAGGTCCCTTCTGTCCTGTAAAGGACCCACAGTGGGCTGAGAGCGCCTGGTGAGTGGGCTCTACTTGCTGAAGCAGATGGGATGTGAGACCTTGTGCAACAGTAGCTTCAGACTGGCTTTCTGTTTACAGCTGGTATATGCTATGGGAAGTAGAGAATGTCCAGGGCTGTTGGTGTCCTTTTTATGCAGTTTTTCAAAGATTACAGTGATTTACTTCCCACAGCATTATGTGCTGAGCTGCTCCTGCACAGTCAACGCTCCCCAGGTCTGACTGTCATAAAAAAGCTGGAAGGGGGTTGTATTTTTCCTTGAGAAATCGAATTACTTTACCTGGTCGAGGTGTGCTGACTGAATTTGTTCCCTGGCTCTCCTGCAGGTAATGAATCACTGCCCATAAAAGCCTGGTAGAAATATATGGAGCTGCAAAATACTGAGGCTAGCAAAGACCTCAGTCTGGAACATTTGTCTTAGCTGGCGTTAAAAGCCTTACTAAAAACAAAAATAATATGGACTAGGTGAATCACTAGGTCTCAGTCTCTTGTGCACCAAACAATTCTTTGCCCAAACTTGCTGCAGAGTGAGACAAGGCAGGGAGACCTCAGTCATGGGATGAAAGTTTTAATGCACCTTAAATAGGCTGTTTCTAGTCTTGGTGTCTATGTCACCCTCACAACAGGTTTTTCAGAATATTTCTTATATTTCTAGGGATAGGACCAGGCACACTGTGCATAGGAGGCCTAATTATTAGCTCTTCCTCACTGTTAACATGTGGAAACTGTTGTTCCTCTGTCCATTGCATGCCTTGAATTTCATCCTTCAGTAATTTGTGAATAATTCTCAGCGTGCCCTGAAAATGCTGCTACACTTTTGTTTTCCCCAGAGTGCACCTTCATTGTGCTGGACACAGAGCGGTGGTCTGGGCAGGCGTGTGCGGATGAGGACTGCATGGTGGGGGATGTGAATCTCTTCCTCACTGATGCTGAGGATCCGACTTTGGGCGAGATTGAAATTATGATTGCAGGTCAAGTTCTGCTTCATAGCTTGGACTTTTGTTGCTGTGGCTAAAGCCAGCTGCAGGCAGATGTTACGTACAGCAGCTTTTTATTCTCATTGCTTTACCATGGCTGTTCAGTCCTGCTCAGCATCCTTTGCTGGTCCAGGTCACAGTCTCTTCTGAAAAGTGTCTGGCCTGGCTGATTTGTCTCACGTAACTGGATGCTGTCTTCTGTGGCTGTCTCTTTCAGAGCCCAGCTACCGAGGCAGAGGGTTTGGCAAGGAGGCAACTCTGATGATGATGTCCTATGGTAAGGGTGGCTTTGTGCAAGGGAACGGGAGTACGGTTGGGATGCGATCTAGAAGCACGTATTCCCAGTGATACAGACAGGGTAGTAAGGGATGCATCTGTCCCAGAAATTGGGAGTCCTGTGCTTTCATAGATGTGGCAGCCAAGCAGGTAATAGAAATGCTTCTCTTTCTGGTTTCTTTTGCAGGAGTGAGAAACCTGGGGATCACCAAATTTGAGGCTAAGATTGGTCAGGAAAATGAAGCCAGTATCTGCATGTTCAAAAAGCTTCATTTCAAGGAGGTGCGGTAACAGCCCGTCTTCTACCCAGAGAACGTGAGCAGTGTTTGCCCTGTGACTGGGATTGAGCTGCTTTTCCTCTGATACAGGTTGCTGTGAACAGTGTTTTCCAAGAGGTGACGTTGAGGCTGGATGTCAGTGACCAGGAGAGACGATGGCTCCTGGAACAGACAGACCACGTGGAGGAGAAGAGCTATGTTGAACTGAAGCTGCCAGCTGGGGTGCTGGAGACTTGACAGACACATCCAGTCACAGGCCTGGTTTCCAGGGAGGAATTGGACGCTGTTGTGAGCTCTGGGTATGGAGGACATCAGTGAGCCAACACTGCACTTAACTGTTTTCATCTGTCTCTTTTGGTTACTTTGTCATCTTGTCAGCTTTGCACCTTGTTGCATCAGCCAGGATTACTGCCTGAAATTTGGACCTGGAGAGCAGCCATTAATTCACAGGCTTGACTAGGAATGACTATAACCTTAACATGCTGTTCCAGCAGAGCCTAAAATCACCAGCAGTTAATTGATTCCTGGTGTGACCAGTTTCTGGACAAGCAGCACCCACTGTTCCTTCTTCCACTGCCCTTAGAGCAGGATTCAGCAATTTGGTAGAGGCAGTCTCAGTGCACTGGTAGCTCAGTCTGTTTCCTCCTGAATAAAAAAACCTGACAAAAATCTGAGGTTTCCCCAGAGCTATCTGGGAGCAGTGGGACTCGGCTGCTCGCTTTGGCTGGTGAGAGGGTGGTTAGAAGTTGTAAAGAACAGCAGAGACTCTTTGAACCCTATTTTCTGGGGTGTAGTGGGTTGCAGGGGGGGCATTGCTGGGTCCTGGAAGTGAGAGGCCCAGGTGTGGTGGGTGAGCACAACCAAGAGCAAGTTAACACAATGAAAATTACTGATACCAGCCAACCAAGACTAGAGCAGAGCCTCGCCACAATTGCTGCGTAATGGGGGGACTGGCACCTGCAGGAGGCTGCTGAGACAAAACCCCATGAATTTCAGGGCCATGCTTTGGACCTGGAAACCTCAGGTCACCCGTGAAGGAATATTACACTTCATTTTGTACCAGGCTGCTTTTATGAAAGTGAGGAGGAGGAGAACACAACTGAAAGGAGATGGAATAGTGATCCCCGGCTTCAGGGAGCTCAGGGCTTGCTCTGCTGAGCCTGGAGGCTCTGTTCACTGCTCTCCAGTAAGCTGAATGGGGGGAAGTATACCTCTTACCCGGGGCAGATATATTTAGGGCAGTAACCAGCCAGCAGGCCTCCACTGTGATACAGCGGAGATCTGTCGCTGAAGAAGAGGCACTTGCCTGACTCCCACTGGACAGACATTTTAATGCAGTTATTTAGCCTGACCTTTCCTGCCCTACACAGCATGCTCTCCACAGCAGGGAAGCTTGCTAAGAGGAGAGGACAGAAGGTAAGGAGGATAACTGATGCTCCTTTGCGTTTTCCCACTGTAATAGCAGCCGTAATGCCTAATTCTAGACCAGAAATTATTTGTTCCAATTACGCAGTGTCAGGTAATAGCTTTCAGATTTGCCCAGGAATGGTTTTATCAGAGATTGGTAGACTGTGGAATTTTTAGTATTGCTGTGCCTGTATTTTTAGGGCCTGGAGGTTTTAGTTTTCCAATTTTAGTTCATTTAAATACATCATTCCTGTGACTAATATTAAAACCCAGTGCAGGAATCGTGTATCGTGGTATTTTAAACAACAAGTATTTAGCATGGATTTAGTTGTAGCAAAAGATTTGTGCGGTAATAAAGTGAAGAGCAGCTCTGCTTCCTGCTGGGATTACCATGACAAGGGCTACTAATCCTTATGCTCTTCGTCACCTGCTGCAGGCAGGAATGGATTCTGTCCCCCAGAACAAGATTTGCAGAACCTGCCAGGTGAACTGCTGGCTCTGTGCTCCTTCCATGGGACATTTCATCCCTCTGCCAGAGAAGCAAGGTCAGACGGGCAGGAGACATGTAGCTGAGGTGGGATTTGCTCCCCTAAAAAGTGAAAAACATGGGAAAAATAATTTCTTTTAACCTCTGCCGCCAGGTGGGGGGTACAGTGAAACCATGCTGCCCTCCGGCCCCACCACAGCTCCCTGTGCCTGGCTGGTTGCTCCGGCGCCAGCGAGTGCCCCGCTTGGCATCCCCAGTCCCCCGGCAACGCCGGCGCACTCCCCCGCCTCCATGGGCGGCTGGGAAAAGCCTTTGCCCTGGCAACCCGAAACAAAGTTGGGTCTGTCCTGCAGCCACAGCCCTCCCCCAGGCTGGGGGGGGTCCCAGCGGGGCTCAACCGGGGTTCCCACAGAGAACCAGTCCCCAGGCTGCTCCGACTGGGTGAAGAGGCAAAAGATGCTCCTGGTACCTGCCGGGTACCCCTGCTCCTGCCCTGCATGGGCAGCCCCAGCCCATGGCATCGCACCACGTCCCAGGCAGGGACACCCTGCTTGTCCCAAGGGGGTGAGGGTGGGAAAGGAGGGGACAGGGGCTCACCTTCACTCAGCAGCACTGCCACAGAGGACACAACTTCGGAGAATGAGGCAGGTTGAAACAGGCTACCCCAGCTTACAGCTTACTGTGCATCCCCCGCAGATGTGGTGGCACTTTGTCACTTGGTTGTCATTTGAGCTGCAGACCTCTGTGACCACTCCTCTGCTCAGGTAGAGGAGCTTGTCTGGGGGTTTGGAGCACGAAAAAAGAGTGTGCAGAAGAGGAGGAAGCAAAGATGCCAGGCAGGGGCTGGGGCTGCAGGTGCACAGCACGCCACGGCCCCTGCTGAGAGCACAGCCCTGCCTTGTCCCTGGGAGCTGCCATCCCACCCTCCCCAGTCCAGCTGAGCTGCCACCAGACTGGCCCTGCTAAGCCACCCAGGCACAGCATGCTCCTGCGCTCACCCGCTGCAGCAGGAGGGCTTCGCTTGGCCATGTATAAGCTGCCCCACATGGGCTTAAAATTAGCCTTGGGGACATCCTAGCCCCACCACGCTGTACCCCCAGCCCCTTCCAGCCACGACACCATCACCAACCCCATGTTGAAACACCTCTCTGCCCTGCTTTCCTCTGCTTCACTCCCCAGACAGGGCTAAGATCCAGCAATTTAGAGGGACAAGCAAACCCTCACCCCACCAATCCCCCCCTACCTTCCCCCAACCCAAGATGCAACCCTGGGGCTCAGGCTCACTCCAAACCCCCCCAGAGGGGCTGGAGGCAGATTTGGGCTGCCCCCAGCAGAGCTGCTGCCCTCCAACCAGGCCAGCAGACACAGATTACAGCCTTGCATCGCTTCCCCCCCCCTCCACTCCCCAGGGGATTAAAGCCCTTTAATCACCCTAGGCATTAACCCACACTGGGACCAGCAGGTCCCTCCCCAACCCCCCCAGCCTGGCCCCACTGGGTGCCGAGGGGCACCCAAAGCAGCCCTAGTGTCCCCCACCACTGGGAGCATTACCTGCCTCTTTCCCCAGCCCTCGCGGCACAGCGAGCCCCCGATGAGCCCCCGCACACCCTCGTGCTTTAGAAGGATTTAGCCTTAAACCGGACACGTGAAGTCAGGAAGGTTTATTCCAGTAAACAGAATTTGTCTTGAGCTCGACAGTACGACAACACCCGATCGCAATACATGGAAACAAAACATCCACAGGAAGAATTTCCACAAAATACATTTAAAAAAAAATAAAACAGTGTGATTGGAAAACTCTTATTTCAGAAAAAAAAAAAAAGAGTCTATTGAGAAGCCTTTAAATTAAACAGTGTCAGATTCAAACCCTAATGGGCTCTGTCTCCAGGAGTGAGTGGGAGCAAAGGAGATGATTATTGCTTGCTGCACTGGCTCCAGACACCCTCTCCTCTCCCAAAATAGCCCCAGGGGCAGAGTGCTGGGGGCTCCCCACCGTGCTGGGCACCCATGTCCCTCCTTGCAGCTGGAGGACAAAGGGACAGGGTCATCATGGACGGAGCTTGCCAGGCAGGGGTCAAACACCCCAGGGAGGAATAACTGTGGTCAGTGGCTGGGCAGATGGGGTTTGCTAAAAGTCACTAAAAGCCTCAGGTTTTGCAGTTAAAGGGCAATTTGGGCAGGGGGGGGGCTCAAATGGAGATGGGGTTTGGGGTGGGGGAAGAACCAGGGAACAGCGGGGATCAGAAGTGTTGGGCATCAGGCCACCCCAAATCCTTGACTCCCCCTCCCTGAACCCCTGCTTGTGCCTACCAGGGTGCACAGGGCTTCAAGGCTGGTCTGGAGGAGCACCCTGGGGATGGACTCACGGGAGGGGGCACCCCCCCCCAGCTCTCTCTAGCCTAAAACTACCACCCAGGACCCTGCTGCAGGGATGCTTGCTGGCCACTGAGCCCCATTGCTCAGGTCAAGGTGGTGGGGAGCAGCCCTGCATCCCCGCTGGGACCCTGTGGCAGGGAGGAGGGGGATGCAGGAGAGGTGGGTGCAAGGCTGGGGGGGCGGGCAGCGGACCCTCACCCCTGCCCTGGGGCCTTCACAGGTTGCTGAACAGTTCATTTTTCTTGCTCCAGTCCATCTGGGGTGCCCGCTTGCTGGTACGCTTCTGGTGTGCCCGTTCCTTGGCCACGGCCAGCGGGATGTCAAGGTCGAGGAGGGAGCCGGATGCTGAATGGCGCTTGTCACCCTCCTGCATGTCAGGCTGGGGGGGAGAGGCTGCATCAGCCCCGCTGTGCCCCCCCGGGACAGCCCCACAGTGGGGGCTCAGCCCAGACCCCGCTTTCCAGCCACTGCCTCCCCGCCAGCATCCCCAGCCTTACCTCGCTGTGGGTCTCTCCAGAATCGGGGGACACAGCCAGCAGCCCGGGACTGGACGGGCTCTCGGACACTGAGTTGGACTGTGAGTCTCCACCATTTTCATTTTCCTGGGGGGGAGCAGGGAGCAAACGTGAGCAGGGCAGCTCCAGCCCTGAGGTTTGGGAACAGCCCCTGGAGTTGTGAGTCCCACCCAGGGGGCCATGAAATCCGCCCTCCCCACACATAATCCCCTGCGAGCTCCAGGCTCATAAATACCTCCAGCGCTGCCCATCCGGGGCGAGGAAGGATTACACCCCAGCCTGACTGCCCCAGCTTTAGCAGGAGGAGGAGGACGGCTGCAGGGCTGGATGCTACTTCCCTGCAGCAGCACAAGGTGTCTCAGCCCTGCAGCATCATGAGGATGGAGGAGGAAGAGGAGGAAGGCAGGCATTGCAGCCACCTTCATGACACACAGCCCCACAAGCAACCCCCTTCCTGGGGGGCACCAGCTCCCAGTCCCCTTCCCAGTGGCACCTACTGTTGTGTGGCAGCCTGGGAGCACTGTAGTCCCTGGTGGCATCACCCACCCATGGGCAGAGGGGACACCTAAACAGGCACAGTTCCTGGCTGTAGACTGGCACAGATGGGATTAAAAGCAAGATGAGGCTCTCTTACCTTCCCTAGATCACCATTGGCAACTGGTTCTGGCAAGGGACCTGCAGGGTGAGGACACAGGTGCTGGGTGAGGATGTGTTTGCTCTGCCCCCTTGCCTACGGGCACAGCAGTGCCCAGCAAAGGCTGCACGTGGCCACCACTCACCCACCCACAGTCTAGCCAGGTCCCAAATTTTTTTAACCCACCCCTTGCAGCCAGCCCCACAGCATGAGGGGATGCTGCTGGGCACCGGGTACATCCCCATGATGACAGCCACAACATGGAGCCCAGTGAGACCCCCCCATCCTCCCAGGGACCACCGTGACAGCAGGGAGGGGGCCACGGCTGAGCCGAGGCTGCAGAGGAGAGCAAAGAACAGCTGCTGCCTGCTCGCTCCCCAAACCATAAACCCTGCCAAAGTGCAACCCGGGGCCATAAACCTGCCTTCCCACAGAGCCCACATCAGCCTCACCACCCTGGCACGGGGCCCGCAGCCGGGCCAGGAAGGTGCCAAAGCCGGGTGACCCTGCTTGGCCCCAGGGTGATGAGACCTCCACCTCCCAGGGCTCGGGGACTCCCCCAGCACCCCCATGCTTGGTGACAAGGTGACACAGAGCCGGCAGAGGTGGCACAAACCCCCTTCCCTGCAGCACAGCCCCCAGCCCACCTGCCAGGTGCTCCTCCGAGGGCACCACCTTGCACTTCTTGAAGAACTCATCCGTGAGGACATCCACCACCAGCAGCCTGGTCTCATCACCGCCCGCCTTGATGGCTGCCACCACATCGGCATGCTGCTTGCCCTCCATGCACACCCCGTTCACCTGCGGGCATGGCACGATGTCACTGCCAGGGCCAGGGGACATCCGTCCCTCGGGAGCCCCACGGAGGGGCCGGGTACCAGCCTTGGTACCAGTCACAGCCCCAGCACGGCCACCCCACAGCCCCTGCAGGTATCCACAGCCTTGCGGGGATTAGCGGTGAAGCCAGCAAAACCTCATTAAAAGCAGATTTTCCTCTGAGTGATTAGCACGGGATCGTACGGGCAAAGCTGGCAGGGAGCGTCCAGCAGCGCGCAGACCCAGGGCTGGCGCAGAAGATGGGCAGCACGGGTGAGGCACAAAGCCCTTGTGCCAGGGCACGGTCCCTGGAGACCCCCAAAGCTTTTGGGGCAAAGAGGCAGCAGCCCCCTGCCCTGGTGAGCAGCGGGGTCGGAGCTCAGCTGGTCCTTGCCCTCGTGGGTCACCATCCTGCCTGGTCCAAACCCTGTCCCCATCCCCACCCTGGTCACAGCCGGCAGCAGGGCTTAGGGGCCATCGTGCACCTTGTCCTCATCCTGCCCCACCCTAGGGACAGCCCAGGGACACTCCTGCTCGGAGCAGAGGACGGTGCTACCGCCGCTTCACGTGCAGCCAGCTAATTAGTGCTCAGCCCCAGCCCTCCGCGGTGCTGCTCCCCGCCACCCACTCGGCTGCACCCCTGGGTGGGGACGGCCAGGCCGGTGCGGGTCAGGTGGCTGCACCGTGAGTCACCGCCGGCACCGGGGATGCCGCGCACCGTCCCGGCAAAGGGCGGCTCCCTCCCGGGCACCGGGATGCGAGGGAGCACTGAGTTTTTTGGGGAGATGCCCCAGCCCGCCAGCAGCCCCCCTGCCCCAGCATACCTCGATGATGCGGTCCTGGGGGGCCAGCCCCGCCGCCTCAGCCGGTGAATCGGGGTCGATGGCACGCACGTACTGCCCTGGGCGGCTCTTGTCGCTGTGCAGGTTGAAGCCGTAGCCATTGGGACCCTTCTTCATGCAGCAGAGCCGGGGCCGCAGTTCCTCCTGCAACGGGGAGAGCCTGTGGGAAAGCTGCTCCCGGACCCCCCCAACACCCAGGGACAGCACTGGGACCACCAGACACCTGCTTGGGTGGCAGGAACACAATCCTCGGGTGGCCACCTGCACCCACAGATGCCTTGAGTTGGGACACAGGGTGCCAAAACACCCTATAAACCCAGGCTCTACTTAATTAACTGGGTGCAGAGCACACTAATTGCAGCAAAACATTAAAGAAACACGTTATTATGGGTGTCCCCAGACAACGCTCTTCCTTTTGGGGTCAGGATTGCAACTGCCATGTGAAGGGGGAGGAGGAAACACAGCCCAGGCTGCTGGGAAGCATCCCCATCCCACCCGGGAAGCCTTTGCTACTGGAGAAGTCTCAGTCTCCAGCACAGGTCCCCTCCATCACTCCCTTGCAAGCTGCAGCCCCCCTCCACAGCAAACCCGAGCCATGGGACCAGCGGGACCCCCCAATCCAAAGCACCCCGCAGCCATTGCCAGCAGGGAAGGGGCACATGGAGCTTGGGCAGGCAGCTGGGATCCAGACAGAGCAGCCCCAATGCCGAGGTGCCCCAATGCTCCCGCATGACCCTCTGTGATTGCAGAAGAGAAACCAGCTCAACTGGGGCGGCGCAAGGTGGGAAGTTCACATCTCCAGGAGGCAACACCCAGCTCGTCTGCGCCCAGTTTCACCCTGACCTGTGGATCCGCCAGCACCCGGAGCCAGGGAACATGACTGGGACAGCCACAGCCCCACACCTGGTCCCCCATCAGCCCTCTAAGAGCACAGTTCCCCACAATGTAAGCAGCAGGGAGAAGCAGGAGCATCCCCAGGAGCCTGGCAAATAGGAGCTGCTTTTGCTCGCCCTGCGGGGAGCAGGATGTCCCGGAAGCATCGGAGGAACCAGGCGACTCGAACCAGCTGCCTGCATGCAGTGCTGTCAGAACTGCTCCAACCCCAGCACTGAAACACCACTTCTACATATTTATATATAAAATGGTTTGATCCTGCCTTGACCACCAGCTCCTGGGCTTTGGTAGGGCTGTCCCAGCAGCCAAGCCACGCTTGAGCTCTTGAAATATTCCTGACCAGGGAGTTTAATATTTATTTTATCTTCTCAGATTGTTTGTTCTCCTTTGGTACCCATAGCATCACCAGGGACATGCACTGCAGGAATTTCCCCTTCCACACCTGCACCGTGCTGCTCTTTACCCCCTGTAGAGCACACTCGCTTCTCGCTATGAAATCCCCTTTGCACCCTGCCAGGAAAGCCTGGTCCCTGGGGTGCTGGCACCCCACGTCTGGCAGAGCTGCAGTGGCAACAGGGTCCCGCATGGGCCAGGGTGACGCGTTTGCAATCGCTAAGCCCAACCCTGTGATAAAACCCCATCCTCTTGCACAACGCCTTCCTGCAGGGTCAAGGCTGGCTGCCGCCCCGGTACCGCTCGCCAACGCCCCGGGAAGGAAGGCGCAAACAAGCACCCAACCGGGTCTGCCGGGGAGTGAAGGTGAGCCCGGGATGCCGCAGCGCTGGCAGTCACGCAGGACCCGCTCCACCCACGGCTCGGCTGGGCGATGTCTGGTGCAAGAGCCCGGCTGCACCTTGGGGAGCTGGTGGTGTCTCCCCCGCAGACCGGCAGCGGGTTCCCTGGCTGGGTGGAAGATTGTGACACCTCGACTTCGCCCCGGCCACCCCTCGGTCCCTGCGTGCCAGGCGGTTGGGCTACGGGCTCTGCCCCGGTCCCCATGCCTGGGTGGCAGCAGGTTCATGGGGTGCCCAGGCTGTGGTGACTGCACCTTCCACCCAGGCAGCAATCCCCAGCGAGGGTGGGGGACAAAGAAGACCCAAAACAAGGCCAAAAAGCAGGAGCTGGTGGAGCCTGGAAGAAGGCAGCACCTCCCTGGGTCCCTGCCCTGGGCCGGCCCCGGGAAGGGGGTTTGGGCTCTGCAAGCACCCATGCTCCCGGTGCCCTTGGCAGCGCCACGAGGTTGCTCCACGCCGATAGCTCAGGACAAAGCCGGAGGGAGCACCCGGCAAGCGGTGCTGGCAGCGCTCCCGGGTGAGAAGGAGGGGGGAGGACTTTGCTCCCACCCATACCAACAAAGCCTGGGCAGCTCAGGCTCTCCGAGACACTGGGGCCACGAATTTAGGGGTGGGGGGGGATAGCCCTGCAGGATGGACAGATGCGCTGGGGCAAGGGGACAGGTCATGGCAGCGAGGGAGGCACCAAGCCCTCAAAGGCGGCCGGCAAAGGCAGGAGCACCCAGTACAAGGGCAGCCTGGCCGAGCCGTGACCTGGCCCCCCAGCATCCCCCCACCAGTGGCTGGCAGCTCCTCCAGCCCAGCGTGCCAGGCTGCCTTCGCTCTCCCCAAATCCCTCGTGCCAGCAGAAACCCGGCGGGCAGCCACGGTTCTGCATCCCTGAGAGAAAAATATAAATGCATCTGATTCTCCAGCAGCCGTATCCTGCCCATCCACTGGGCATCCCTCCAGCCCCAAAGTCCCCCCTGGCCAGAAGGGACCCGAGGTGAGAGGGTCTGGGGTCAACACCTGGGATGCGGAGAAGCCCCATGGCTGCGGGGCCAGGAGCTGGAGAGCAGGAAAACGGAAATGCCCCTAATTTCTATAAGCTTTTGCGTCCTCTCCTCCAACGCCAGCAGCCCTCCCGCCGTGCTTGGGCACGGATTAGCGGGTAGAGCCTCGTTACGAGCAATTACAACCTCCGGCGGGGAGGGCGGCGGGGGAAGCCAGACTCAGCCCCCAGCATGGACATCCCATGCCACCCCTCTCCGCTGTACCCAGGGGTGGCACAGGGACATCTCCTGCCCACAGATATGCCCACTTGGGATTCGGAGCTCAGCGGCATCGCATCCCTCTTCCTGCCCTGGAACAGGACTTGGGGCACATCTGGACCCTTCTCCTTCCAGGAGCATACCAGATCATCCTTCCCCAGCACCTTCGGCCACTTGGCAGGACCAGCAGCCCCAGGGACGTGGGGACCCCAATCGCATGGTGTGCCAGAACCCGCTCCCCAGTTCCCAGCCCTCCAAAAACAATTTCAGGACAGCTTTTGAAGCCCCAAGTCCCAGGAAACTCCCCACAGCCCTACAAGCAGCAACAAGCCCGTCGGCAGCAGCATTCCCAGTTACTCAAAGAGAAACACAACAGCTCTGAGGACGCCTGGGCCAGCAAATTCACACGGGTCCCGAAATCTGGCGCACACATTCGGGCTTCATACAAAGGGGATGCAAAGCAGCCTCCTCGCAGCATCCCCGTCACGTCCCGTTTGACTGGAGCTGCTTTTCATGCAGCTGCCTTGAGAGGAAATTTAATTCATTTCCTAATTAGACACCAGCTACCCCCAGTGCAATGCTCCCAAATGGGGGGGGAGGAGGATCTGCTCCCTGTTATACCCCGAAACTCAGCCCTGGGAGGCTCACCCAGCTTTTACAAGGAGGGATGAGCATTGCTGGCAGGGAGAGCTCTAATTTAGCACTAAATTTGCAAGAGGGAAGCCCGGGGCTGGTAGCAAAAGCCATGCCCTGGTAAAAGCAGCCCTAGCCTGTGCCAGGGCGCTGGGCTGGCAGCTGCCAGTGCTGCTTCGCTAACGCCGTGCAGTTTGCATGAAACTTTCTCAAGACACTCCCAAGCAGTCGAAGGCTCCGGAAACGCAGGTGGGGGGAGGATGAGCTGTCACGGCTCCCAGCCCAGCGCTGGGGACAGTCCCCAGGGTGCAGGGCCGGCCCCGGGTGTAAAACTGTCACCTCGCTGGCTCAGCGCCACAGAAGGGGGATGCACGGATCAGCGCCACAGGTGCCTCCACAGAGGCTCAAAACCTCCACCCCAGCATCAAGGAGGATTTGCATGCCCAGGGTTTTATAGGAATGAGAAGGGAGCCCATGACAACCCCCCCCAAAACCTCCTCAGCCCATGCCCAGCACTGGGAGCCACAGGGGTGTCCTGACCATGCAGGACCCAGCAGGGTTTGGAGAGGTTGGATCCTGCCCAAAGGAGGGAGGTGTTAAACCCTCGCTCAGCCCCAGGCAGGGTGTGGGTGCTGCCGGCCGGCTCTCACAGCAGTGAGTGTCTCCAGGCTCGGTAAGCAAATAAAGGCAAGTCCATCCCATAAAGCAAACAGGACTCTGACACAGGCTCCCCACCGCAGCGATCCTGGGGGAATCCCACCAACCCATGGGGCTGAGACAGGGCTGCCTGGGGACGGGGCAGCAGGCACCGGCTGCCCACCAGCGACCAGAGAACAGGCACACCAGTGTGTTCCCAGCTCACCAGAGAGAAATCCCATTCTGCCAGCTCTGGCTCGGCATCTTCCCACCCTGCTCGGTGGGCGCCCAGATGGGGCGATGTCTCCAAACCCACTTGCCTTCGTTTTCCTGCCCCAGGCACCGGGCCCTGCCCCCAGCCACAAGATTTCCTGCTACCTGTTGAGAAACCGTCCGGGGCTGTGCAGCAATGTCACCCCATGTCACCCGCTTCCTGCTCCCGCAACAGAGAAACCGCCTGCGGTAACTCTGCACGGGGCACACCCCGAGCCTGCACCCCAAGACCGTGGGGCATCTCCAGCCAGGGATGCCTCCCCCCCCAAAGTTTGTGGGGCATCTCCAGCTTCCCTGGCCCTTTGCATCGCTCCGGCCAGCACAGCTCCTGCGAGCAGGCAGCCACCCCGCAGCATGTCAGGGCTCCATCCCCCCTTGGGGACTGCACACCCGCAGCCCCCCAAGCCTGGCAGGGGACTCACCTGAGCTGCATTAACTACATCCCCTTTATTTTTCCCAGCTTATGGAGAGATCTGGGAGAAGAAAGCACAGCACAGACGGTCTCGCTGGCCTCGAGGGAGCGTTGCCACTGCGACATACGGGAGGGCAGGCACGCTCCCCCCCATGCAGGGCAGCACTGCAGCCCGGCACAGGGCCAGACCCAAGGGACCAGGGATGCCACAGGGGACAGCATGTGGCACAGTGACAGGGACAGAGCCTGGTTGTTCCCACCTGAACAAGCCCATCGAGGAGGTGCCGGAGCGGTGCTTTAGCCAGGCAGGGGTGAGACCGGTGCCCTGCAATGGATCAGTCCGACCAGGGGCAGCCGGCAAGAGGCTAAAGTCCAACAGGAGACACAACCAATAAAAACACCTGATCCTCAGCAAAACCCTGCGTGACAACAGCTCATGAGGCATCAAAGTCTGCCTAGGGCTCAGCACCAGCACTGGGAAGGCCCCACAGCACCAACCCTTCCCAGCTGATCTTTGGGAGCCGGTCATAAGAGCTCCCCAGAAGGTCCCTCACCCCAGGGACACCAAGAGCCTGCTTCCCAGGAAGACTATCAACATCTCTGTTGTAACAACAAATGTGTTTTTGCTGGGTAAATAAAAAGCAGTATTACCTCCGGCAGCCTAGAGTGTTTCTTAGGAACGGCTCCGGGCAGGAAAGGTCAGCTATTTCTCAATTCTCACCTTTCTACATCGCTTTGTTTGTGCAACCGCTAGTTCCCACGTGCCGCTTCAGGCCAACATTCCTGAATTAGTAAGTGTCTGTACTTAGTATCTGTACACGGAGACCTGACCGACAGGATCGGTCCCCCAGGTTTGGGAAGGGCTGCGGCATCTCTGCTCCACAGCAGAGATCGGACACACTTCAGGGCACGAGTGACTGCCGCCCACACCTGCGGTCACAACCCCCCCAAAAAATACCCTCTGCTACAGCTTTTTTTGTTGTATTTCGGAGCGGTTAACACTGCACGTCGAAGCTCACCACCGCCCTCGCTGCCTGTTGCTTTTTCTCGCTCTGTTTTACCGGCCCTGCAGCACAAGGACGGGCCAAAGGGCTCCAAGACACGACGGGCTGCTCGGTTTACGGTTCCAAACCGTCCCCTGTGCCCGCCTGCCTCCGCTCGTCACCCAGCAAGGCTGGTAGAGAAAAGTGTTAAGGAGACAAAAAAAAAAAAAAAATTACAATCGAAAAGGAAAAGCAGCAGGGCGGGCCCCAGTGCTCCTAGGGAACGGTGTTTAAAGCAAACCGAAAAACAACCGAGAGCGAAACCACACGGGGCGCCCGGGGGAGGCCGGGGCATACGCGCCGGCTGCCGCTCCCGCTCGCTCGGCTGGAAGGCGACGACCGGGGCCGGTCCCGGGACTCCCCCACCCGCATCCCCCCTGACCCCCAAAAAACTTTCCAGCTCCCGAGCTCCCCCC